TCAATCATGTCGAACGGGAGAAAGCTAAATGAAATAGTCTATATGACCTACCTAAGCAGGCAGCATCGTTTCAACTACAGGCGGTGGCACAGGCACAGGCGCAGATGAGGACGTCGAAGCAGCCAGGATCGGAGAGACAGCAAGACAGGCCTTCCTACATTGATCTGAAATAATCAGTGTGGAGATCTGCTGCACCGCACCGCACCGCACTGCACCGCACCGCACCGCACCGCACCGCACCGCACCGCACCGCACCGCACTGCACTGCACTGCACTGCACTGTACTGCACTGCACTCAGCATGATGTGTGAACAAGATGCAGATTTTCAACACTAATCCAGTCAAGTATGTCAGTGTTTCTGTGATGATTGAGAGACTTGGTGGTGCGTCACGAAAAGCATTTCCAACAAACTGCAGACATACATCACATGAACAGCTACCGCCTACGCCCACGCCCACGCCCACGCTCACTCGATACTCACACTGAATATCAGATAGATAGATAGATAGATAGATAGATAGATGGCCAGAGTAGAAATGAGAATGAGCAACAAGGAAGACACTGTGGTCTGGCGACGAACCAACGAAGCAAGAAGCCATCACCCAACAAATGTGTGGGATAGAGTGTAGATAGATTTGATTGTGGATAGAGTGAGAAGACGGATTGTGAACATCACGCATGAGGACAGGCCAGTTCAGGTGAGGTGAGGTGAGGTCAGGTTAGGTCAGGTCAGGCCAGGTGGTGGAGTGGAGTGTAGTGGAACCCAGCTGGGAACCGAGGAGTCGGGTGTGTGAGGGTGACGACATGTAGGAGATGATGTGAGGAAGAAGTGAAAGCTTGTGTGCAGTGGTGTAGCGAGGTTGGCAAGACTGCAGAGAGGGGAGTGGAATTGATACGTGCTAGTGAAGCCCTATGTTCGTCTTGAATCGCATAGGAAAATATTTATAATGCCCTTTTGGCACTCACGTATATTTTTGAATCACGGTGTTTACTATTGTCGTTAATAAATGTAAGCTTATATCACGGTACAGTGTGTCTCATAGAAATTATGTGATACTTTGACCACGTTGTTTTTGATTTTGTAAAGCAGTCAACCAGGCATGGTTGTAATATTCCAGTTCCAGTTCATATTGTTTACTGTCACTTTAAGACACGTTATTGTTGATATAGTCCAGAAAATTTTGACTACCTGTGTAGGGTGATTCTTAACACTAGCTTATTGAGATTTCCGATAACTAACATAGTTTACCAGTGATAATGGTTTATGAAAATTTATAAAAACTAATCACAGTGTAATACGAGATTTTCTGAGACATGGTGACTTCTGTCAATGATATCAAGCACACCTTGCCTAGTAGTACGAAGAAGTAAGACTGACATCCTAATAACAAGCTTTGGTGTACTTATTTTGACACAATATATTTTGTGTTGTTGACTTTTATATGGTGGTTTCTATACGTGGATGGGTTTTATTCATTTATAGCCGACCTAGAATTGGTGTTGAAATTTGTTTTAAACAAAGCAAAAAGGAATAAGACAAATTGCTATTAAAATACAACAAAAATGTCTTGCTGTGTCATATAGTATTCAACTGGAAATTTCTTTTGTCGCTTAAACAAATCTAACATAATTAATCGAAAATAATTTATTACTGAGTGCTTAGTAGCAACACCACTGAATGTTAGGCATAATATGAGAGGTCACACCTGATAGACGTCGCGTCATTTCATTTCAAAACAAGTGTGATGAAAGAAGGTATGATTTAGTGGAGTAGATTCATAGCTCAGGTTGAGTATGATATTTATTTGATACCCTTCGAGAATTCAAGTCTTGTTCTTGAACGTTTCATCATCAAGTTACGCGACTTCATCAACATTAACTTCCTTATGAAGTGAAATTCGGAGAAAATCAAACAATTATTGAAAGAATGGTATTTTTTTCAGTTGTGGTATGTAATAAACCAGGTTTATAACGTACTGATAACTACTTTTTAAAATTGATGTCACACCATTTAATTAATTTGTCCTGGATATGCTCTAAACGTTCTCCTTTTATCATTAAAAAATGTAGACTTTAGCGAACAAATTTGTTTTTGGTGATCCCATCGCCTGCAGCTGAATAATCATATTTAAATGTAGTTGGTGTGCATATAAGTGTAAATATTTTTGGTCACAAAATTAATGTAGGAATGGAAATTACATAAGAAATCTGTAAGTTGTTAGTTGGTTGGGGGCAATTAGCAGGAAGCCGTGGACCTTGGTTTCCTGTTGGTTGGCACTCGTCAAAAAGACCTACCTACATCCTCAAAGTAATCAGTATCTTGTCTGGGGTTTGAACTTACGCCACCTAGTCCCTTATTCAATGTCGTTGTCACTGAGCTATTCGGGCCACGACTGACCTCCTATAAGACTGTGTTATATACATTGATTAGTCACGGGAAAGCGACCAGTTTCATGTTGACTAATCCTATTGCAATGTGATCACTAAGAAGAAGTAAACTGTATGTATAGAGCCAACTTTTGCACTCCCTGATGCTATTGACTTCTTAATTCTTAAACCTTTAATTCACGGTCACTCACGTTGTCAGATACTTTCATATTTTTTTTACATAATTTCCATTTCCATTTCTTCATGGTCACAAGCTACTATCATATTTTGATTGACGAATTTTAACATTTTTATGTATACTGACTATATTTGAATATGATTGTTCAGCTGTAGGGAGTGGAGTCATTGAAATCGAGTTTGTTCACTGAAGTCTTGGTTCTTATATGATTTTATGAGGTTTGTAGTTATACAGTGTTAGAATGACTCTTGGGTGTCTATTTACTTTTTGGAACGGTAATAGCTTTCTAACCAATAATAAAGACCAGTTGTATATATTTGGCCTACAAGACAATGTTTTGTTAGCTAAAAGTTCTTACGCTGGCATCGTGTTTGATCAAGATTTTCTAACAAATCGATCTCATTCTCAGTGTAAATCATTGTTATTAGAAATTTCTGATAACCCATGTTCTGCTTACATACGACTGTTTAAACTGTAAGCTTCTTTAAGCATAGAGAGTTACTGTTATATAAGTTGGGCGCCGCTTTCAAATCTACAGGTTATCTGCGTGTAAATGCCTTTCATTGAGCTTTGGTTAATGCGAAGATTTTATGCTTTCTAGTTTGTTGATCGTAGTCGTCTGTCGGCAGCTTACTATCTCTCACTGCTAGTTGATTACCAGAAGAAAGTCAGGTAAATTCTACAAGGTGCATACCATTCCCAACTTGATAACATAAAGTATTATTTCACATGATGCTTTACTAAACCCATTTAGTTATACAACAGCTTTGATTGTTGGAAGAGAAGTGTATTTTAAGAAAAGCAATATTGTATTTCATGCAAGGGATCTTCAATAATTCATAACCCTTACTTTATCAACAGTTGAATATATTACTTTTCTTACGTGAGGTTAGAAAGTGACCATGATAGCATGAGATGACTGAATTTTATATTTAGCTAAAGGAATCCTGGAAATGGTGACCATCACACTTTCGTCTAGTAACTCAAAAGCAACAAGTTCACAACGGTACATATTCGGCGCTAAAAAATTCTGATGATATATACCAAAATATTTCATGATGTAACAACTGTAGGCTCTGGAAGTATTCAGTTTAAAACTTATTCTCTTCAAATACAATGAATGAACACTCTATTCTTAGGTGTATTTAATATGATAAATAGGGCTATTAAGTTATACTATTTCTTCTTTTTAACAATTTTAAGGCAAACAGCTATTGAATCTGATCGCTTTTATTAGAAGAAAATTCAAAACAAAATAATTTGACACATATCCTTTCAGAAAAGTAAAAGTAAATAGTTGTAAAGAGTTAGTTTTTAATTGTAATGTTCCATTATTTTTCTAGCGTCGACCGAGAAGTAATTTGGCAACTGCTTCAACACTACAGAATGCCACAAACCTTTATCGGCCTCATTCAACAACTATATGAAGACGCCACATGCCAAGTGATTCATAATGGGAAGCTCACTGACGCCTTTGAAGTGAAGACAGGAGTAAGACAAGGCTGCCGCCTACTATCACCAATGATCTTCCTGATTGTCGTCGACTTGACTGAACTGGGCCATGCAGCAAACCGTGAGAAGTGAGAAGAGGGCCATACACTGGACTGATGAAAATAGCGTAAAAGATTTGGATTTCGCCGATGACTTGTGTCTAGTGTCACACAAACTCGAAGATCTACAGGCGAAAACTAACAAGCTGACAGAAGAGGCAGGGAAGCGAAGACGGGACTTCCTGCAGTTGAACGTAAAGAAGATAGAGGTGATGAAGATACCCAACCGATGCCACCACCATCAATAACTAGCCCCAACCACCATGAACGGGAGAAACTTAAAGGATGTAGTCTCTTTCACCTACCTACCTAGGCAGCACTGTTTCAACTACAGGCAGCACAGGCACAGACGAGGACGTCAAAGCCATCCAGGATCGGAAAAGCAATACAGGCATTCACTAAGCTGAAACCAGTGTGGAGATCTGCACTCAGCGTGATGCGTGAACAAGATCCGAATTTTCAACACCAACGTCAAGTCAGTGCTTCTATGTGATTCAGAGACTTGGTGCGTTACAAAAGCATTTCCAACAAACTACAAACATCCATCACATCAACAGCTGCCTACTCTAGCTCGATACTGAAGATCAGATGGCCAGACATAATAAGCAACAAGGAACTCACTCTGGCTGGTGACAAACCAACCAAGAACCTATCGTTGAACAAATATGCCGAAAGAAGTGGAAATGGATTGGATTGGGGACATCACACGCTAGTCCCTCGAGTGGAATTCAGATGGGAAACGGCTAGTTTGGCATCCAAGGGTGACATGGAGGAGATCGTGTGAGGAAGAAATGAGAGCTTATGGGCAGTCATGGAACCAGGTTCAAAAGTTTTCAGAGAACAGAGTTCCATTAGGAACCCAAGGGACAAATAATAACGATAATAATAATATAATTGTTTTTCTATTTCTGTTCGATAGAATCAAATAATGAATTGACACAGACAGAAAATGAAACTTTTAATTACGAGTGAAATAAAACAAAATTGTCCAAGGTTTTAGGATTCCTCGAAATAAAATGTTTTTAGTTATTTCAACCTGTAGTTTATCAAATACTCAGAAATTTATTTTCAATCATGGATAGTGGAGAAATTATGATCATAGTTGCGTATTTTTTATTTAACTATAATATAAAATTTTTTTAATATGCATGAAAGAAAATAAATCAGGAAGTTTTTTGAATTATACTCAGATCTGTTAAATAAATAAGTAGTATGGAAATATTGCACTCAATTTTTGATCAATATGTTTACAGAAATGAAACATGTTTGTAAGAAATATTATGAAAATCATAAATTATGATTCAATTGGATAGTGCTTTTTAGGTTGATTGATCAGTTGTTTTAAGATTTTAAAATGTTTTTTCTAAATTATTATTTGAGAATGAATTGTTGGTGTGACGACCTCTTTCTAACGTCCAGTGGAGAATTCTTCATCTTCATTATCATCACAGTATCGTTGGCAAATGTGATGGATAGATTTTTGGTTTACCCTTTTACAGTGTTTACGCCAATAGCTTAGAAGATGAGGTCTACTGTGCATTTGTAAATAGCCAGATGGTTGACATAAGTGAGGATAGCCTTTAAAAAATGCTGCATAACCACCATGCAATATATAGACCTGTGGATATCTTAAAGCAGGATATGAAGAGAAGTTGAGTGTTCGATCATGATTGCGTAGAAGCTGAAATAGTTCTGGTGCACGTTTTGAAGAAAATTCACAATGTAGTACAAATAAAGTGCGAGATGGCTTTGGACCAACAAGTAATTTAGGTAGTGATAGTGAGAGGCTATGCATATCTGTTACAGAGCTCTCATTAATTTGTTTTGCCCCAAAAAAGTATTGACAAAGACTCGGCCAGTCAGCTAAGTTTATGGCACCGCGTATGTGACCAGCGTTATATTCATATGGGTAACGGCAGTCAACTATAACTACACGTTTATTTATTGTCTTCAGCAAATTAGGGCTGATTGCTTTACAACGACTTATCAATTTAGGTTTGTATTCAGCGTTTTTAGAGTGAAGTTCTGATATATTGTTAACATTGATCACCGAATGTTCATTATCGGATGTTGTCAATTCTAATGATGATGTGGAGGAGGATGAAGACGTGTACGGTATTTCGGGAGAGATGGAAGTTGTTTTTTTGACTTTTGTCTCCATTTGAGTTATAATGTAGGCTAAGTGATCAACTTCTATTAATGGCCAGGGCGAATGGAATGATTCTTTTGACGCAAACAGACTCCCGTGGATAGTGGAAGACTGTTGATTGTTAATCTAGGCAAAATTAGAAAAAAAGTGATCTAATTCCATATTAGATTTGTTTATTTGATTTAAAACACACAGTGATATAGTATTATTTACTTGATGACATTTCGAGTATAAATTATTGCTCATAATCATATCAGTGTGATCTAGAATGATCTGGTGTGTAAATTACACCGTGCACAATATCAGAATATTAAGAATATCATGGACTGAGAGACTCCTCAGCAGTGCGAACCCATGGATTTATCAGGGATCAAACTGAGCGTCTTCAGATCCCGTGGCCAGCACATCATGGTTAAGCCACTAACACGAAACTTCATTGTCCAATTTTCTTATTTCAAGATACAGCACGACTTCAGTTCAGTTCAAATTCTACTGGGATCAGTGCTGTTTTTTGAACTTCAGTCATTCTGTCTATTGATATAGCCGAAGGAGGATTTCTTGAAAATTAACTGAAAAACATATATCGAAAACAAGCCACCGTTGGCTCTTGGTAAATTATCTATACGCTCCTTTGAGCATAGAAGTATCTTGGAAGCTTTATTCAGAACACTCTGATCTGTTTTCAAGGTCTATTTAAAAATAAAAAAGAAACAGGTACTGATAGGAGCGGCCACTACCAAACGGGGATACTTACATATGATTCACTTTGAGTCAAAATACATGAAGCTTATATGCATAATTATTTTGAGTAATCTATTTAGACCGCGGACTTGTGTAAAACAGAGAAAAAGAAGACATTTGATAGAAAGCAAGTGACATAAATCAGTTAGTTTTGGCTCACATTTCATCGTCACATATATGCATGAAATCTGTTATAGTAAATAAGATGTTCAAACATTGTTCGAGCAAAAAATACAGTAGCTCATCCATCTACAATTTCAGCCATTATTTATGTGCAGTCTTATTGAATAGATAAGTGCTGTTAATATATTCAAAGCTAATTCTATGCTCTATCGTCAACAGCATCAAAGTTCACAGTCAGATAGTCAGACAGACAAGCAGAATCAACGTAGAACCTCGCATACAGGTCCATCGGCTCAAATTGACACACTTCACATCAATATACAAAGAAAAGGCGGATAGAAAAAGAGTAATATCGGAATAGAAAAAGTTGTTTAAGGAGTGAATACATCTGCGCAATCGTGACAGATTTCCAGCCGTGTCAGAAACAGTTCTCAACCATTGACTCATACCTTCTCGGGGAATCCCGCCAGGCAGCCTATATCCCTCCACATAGCTCAAACCAACAGTCACCATAACAACGTATGGCCTAAATTGAATGGAACTTTATTTTCCAAATCACAAATTTAGTATACTGTTTCAGCAAACGTTTGTGAATGTAATTTAAGTCCAGACACATATTTTATAACTCTTTCATCAACTTCTTTTGATCTATTAAAACTGAGTGTGTCTCATTGTACAACTTTAATGTGTCAGTAAAACTTGCACTATGATACGACTTGTAAATTACATTCTAATCACAGTTAATTGACTGGACAAGAAATCCTGCTCAGGCATCTCATGGTGTGCATATATGAATCAGTGAAACTGAAACCCAAGTATGGCGAAACCAGTATGATGAAATTTCATAAAGAGTCTAGGAGGCTGGAAATTTTTTAACCCATATCTACGACATCTTGGCAACTACAGCTTTTGGATTTAATATGTTAAAATCTATAGTTGTGGAGAGCGCGCAATCACCCCATATCTTCCTCTCAATTTTGAACAGACTGATACACTTACTGAGCTGTCATAAGCAGCAGAATAAAGAACCTCCTTACCATTTTGTAACATCCCATGTTTTCAAGCTTGTATTCATCACGATCTGACTTCAGTCGGAGAACCACTGAAAACGTAGTAGCACTCAGCAACCGTTTCGTCCTAGTGTGAAACTCCTTAATGTTTCTGGAAGTGATATCAGTGCATGATGAGTACCAACCTGAAATCAACAGAATCCACACAAACCTCTGAAGTGAATTCTAAGTTTTTTTTATAACTTAGCGAATTCGCTTTTTTCTTTACTCTGCTATTTATCGATACGTTGAAACTGGTTACTTTGACAACATTTTATCATAACAGTAACGCAGCGATCAGCTGTAGGACATAAGATTATGTGCAATCTCAAACAGAGTCGGGCATGAAATTAGACTTTAAATACTGGAAAGAAAATTTATTTTCTGCTACATTTGATATAAACTGTTACATATCACCTGTGTGGTTATTAACTAATAATAACTAACCTAATGTTGAGTGTATCTTTGGCTACCTACGAACTTTTTTACAACTGTTATTTTGTCCCTCAAAATTAGGAACTTTATGAGAACATTACATTAAAACAATAGAGAGATAGCAAATTGACTAAGTTAACCATCTATGGTCAAACAAAAAGAGAAATATGATTTATTCATTCATCAGTTTTTGATTTTTAGTCAATATGTTGAAAATTTCAGCATGTGTACAGCAAAAGTTGATGAAATCACTATGAATAATATAAAGTGATATGATGTGCTGAAACATCACGTGTTTGGTCAGACAGTCTATCAGCGTCCACATACAACTGAATGTTACTACCCGATGGTCTAAGTCATCACAACTGAAGTCAGTATATAAATGGTAGAAGACGCGGAGAAGAAAGATGCAAAAATAAGGAAGAAAGTAATTGAAAGTTGCGGGAAGTTTTGCAACGAGAGAGAAAAGGAATGAAAAAGTAAGGAAATTCAATATGACGGTTAAGATAATGATAATTTGTGAATAAATCCACACGGCTAAGATCGCTTTGGAGCTATATCATCTATAGACTATAACCACAGATTTTGATTTGGAATCTGACGCCCATCCGGAGTTCTATAACTCCCTACGCAACCCATACCAATTGTCGAAGTCTTGATGCATTTATTCCACCTTTTCGTCCAGAGAAATTTTGTTTGGCTAACACTGCACAACAAGGTAGAGGCTGAATAGTCACGCGTTACACATATTCAAGCCATCTGAGGTGATGACTTACACCCGTTACCTAAAATACTACACCTTGCCTCTGAGGCACTGATATGGTGGGAGTACAACAGACACGAAGTATGCTACAAAGGTAATGGTGATCGAATACCTGGAACCTCCATAATTTCTCCACTTTCAGTTGTTACGTATCACGGTCACATTGCAGAAAACTATTTATTAACTTTGTGTTCAAAGAACAATTAAAGTCTAACATAACCAACGTTCAAGCTCGCCTGGTTAACTCGGTCACTAGTTACTAGCCAATCCTAAACCCAGATAAAGACAGAAGGTTGGGCAGACGGCTAACAACCCTACAACAGAAAAACAATCCAGTCGCTAAAGAAACTTCAAAGCACAAACAAAACATTAAAAATGAAAATAAATTTATCCTTCGCTGGAATCGGAGAGACGAAATGACGCCGGTTGATGAAAGCCTTCAGAAAGCCAATTGGTCGATGTGTCTCCTCTTCTCTCGATGAAAGCGAAAGTAAATATGGGGATATGGAATGTCCGCACAGTGTTTGAAGCTGACTGTTGAGGCTTCCCATATTGCCAAAGAGATGAGAAGGTATGGTATAGAAGTGGTAGGCTAGGAATCTGTGGAGAATCTGCAGATGGAATGGAAGTAGGCACTCCAAACTGTGTCGAATAGACCTCCATCACCACGTGCCATTCGTCCACAAATACCACCGACAACAACAGGAATTACCAGGGAACACAAGCCCTCCGACAACAGCAGAATTGAAATCGTGAACGCGATTCAGCTGCTCAAATCCTGGTGAGCAGCAGAACCAGATGGAATTCTCCCAGAATCACTGAAATCAGAGATAGAGACAACAGTGAACATGCTCCCACCACTTTCATTGCCAAAGGTTTGTAAGGAAAGAAAGAAAGTTTCCTGATGATCGACTGGACGAAGGGCAACCTTGTGAATCTCTCAAAGAAAGGAGAGCTAAGTCATTGCAAGAACTGGCGAGCAATCATGTTGCTGTCCACTCCAGGCAAAATATTGAGCTGCATCATCCTGGAGAGAATAAAATATGCTCTCGATTCAAATGGATTACATCCGAAACAGGTGGGCTGTATTCAAGAAAAACTAATTATGTGGGGATCAAATTGCAAGGCTGCGACAAACATCCTCATCGAACAGAGTATAGAATGGCAGTCAACTATCTACCTCACCTCAAATTCATCCATTTCAAAGCGACCTACGACAGTGTCGACCGAGAAGTAATTTGGTAAGCAGCTCCTTCAACACTACGGTTTCAGTACCACAACACGCTCATCCACCTCATTCAATAGCAACTATATGCTATGTGAAGCTACATGCCACATGACACATGCCAAGTGATGCACAATGGAAAGCTCAGTGATGCCTTCGAAGTGAAGTGAAGACAGGAGTAAGACAAGACTGCCACCTACTATCATCAATGATCCTCCTGATTGTCGTCCACTTGACTGGACTGGATCATGCAAGGAAGTGTGAGGATCTGTGAGAGGATGAGCATACGCTGTTTGACCGATGCGATGGAGAGAGCTCAGAGGGAGATTTGGATTTCGCCACACCGGTGATCAGTATTCATGTTCGATGTCTTGTCGCACAAACTCGAAGATCCGTAGGCGAAAACCAACAAGTTGGTAGGAGAGACAGGGCAGCGAAGACGGCACTTCAAGTGAACGTGAATGTAGGGAAGACGGAGGTGATGAAGAGATTCAATCACCTCCACCACCACCACCAACAACAACAACAACAACAGCAAGCATCAATCATGTCGAACGGGAGAGAGCTAAATGAAATAGTCTATATGACCTACCTAAGCAGGCAGCATCGTTTCAACTACAGGCGGTGGCACAGGCACAGGCGCAGATGAGGACGTCGAAGCAGCCAGGATCGGAGAGACAGCAAGACAGGCCTTCCTACATTGATCTGAAATAATCAGTGTGGAGATCTGCTGCACCGCACCGCACCGCACCGCACCGCACTGCACTGCACTCAGCATGATGTGTGAACAAGATGCAGATTTTCAACACTAATCCAGTCAAGTATGTCAGTGTTTCTGTGATGATTGAGAGACTTGGTGGTGCGTCACGAAAAGCATTTCCAACAAACTGCAGACATACATCACATGAACAGCTACCGCCTACGCCCACGCCCACGCCCACGCTCACTCGATACTCACACTGAATATCAGATAGATAGATAGATAGATAGATAGATAGATGGCCAGAGTAGAAATGAGAATGAGCAACAAGGAAGACACTGTGGTCTGGCGACGAACCAACGAAGCAAGAAGCCATCACCCAACAAATGTGTGGGATAGAGTGTAGATAGATTTGATTGTGGATAGAGTGAGAAGACGGATTGTGAACATCACGCATGAGGACAGGCCAGTTCAGGTGAGGTGAGGTGAGGTCAGGTTAGGTCAGGTCAGGCCAGGTGGTGGAGTGGAGTGTAGTGGAACCCAGCTGGGAACCGAGGAGTCGGGTGTGTGAGGGTGACGACATGTAGGAGATGATGTGAGGAAGAAGTGAAAGCTTGTGTGCAGTGGTGTAGCGAGGTTGGCAAGACTGCAGAGAGGGGAGTGGAATTGATACGTGCTAGTGAAGCCGTTTGTTCCACTAGGATCTCAAGGGCAAGTAGTAATATTTATAAACCATGTTCGTATGAATACTGATTATTCAAGTAATTTTTTGTATGCTTAGATGAAAAGTATAGAATAGGCCTGGATTTTACCTGTGATGGCTGAAACGAATTAAACTTTCACAACCAATTTAACAAGAGGAACGCGACAAAAATAAACATTTATTTCTTAATGATGAGTTTTGTCTTGAAGTTTGACAAGCTGATATTTGAGAAGAAACTAAAGAACATGAGGACTATATTTTGTCTTTTTTCCAGAGTCGGTTAACGATGTACACGTTCGCGTTCTTGTATGTTAAAACTAAAGATCTCCCTCTTCAAGTGATTGAGTTACAACCTAACAATATGTCAACAATATTGGATAAGAACTATTTTATATCTGAGATAAACAAGAAAATAACGATCCCTCAGGATAAATTTTCTTAGTCTATTTCTTTTATGAATTTTATAAAAGCAGAAAAGTATTCATACAATCAGATTTATTGGAAATATTTTTAGGTAGGATACAAACCACACATGAACTCACTTTTAAACAGCATTTACTTTTGTCAACGGGTGCTGTAAATGAGACCTTTTTGAATTCATTTGGAAACAGGAACAATAATTCTATTCTCCACTTTATTAGGAACTTTTGTACGGTTCCGTAATTATAATCAGGTTATGATTTTAATTGATATTTAATATTTACTCTCAGTAATTATAAAAAAATACAGTAATAACTGAATCACCGTGATAGAAAAAAAGATATTTTTATAGTAATGGATTATGAAAAGAGAGTTTCTTGTAAAATAATGATGCATATTTCAATAACAATAAATATATTCAGTCAAATGACAGAATTAAAATGATCATTCGTGACCCATTTTCAAAAAGATTAAATCGATGGAATATAGTTGATGCTCAACAGTACTATGATAAATCTTGAAGGATAATTTGTTCATAATCGAGTCATTTTTTAAATCTTCACAAATCTGCAAATGGAATTACTGGTCACTACGCATTAGGGACGTACTACACGATGAGATTTTCTGGTTTCAATGAGAAGTCATGACTATTGGGGATAACCACGTCAAATGTGAAGACAGTTATTCTTCAATGACAACACTGAATGGAGGCTATGATATTTCGTAAACTGACAAAAGCAAAAACTGTGGACTACTGAATACCAACCCAGTGTCTCAGTAGTGATCTGCTGGTCGAGGTACGTGGAAATTCTGAGTTGGATCCATGTGGGGCCATGTGTGCACACTACTGAAAAGTCCCTTGCAAGAGTGGAACAGTTGTCCAATGCTCCCAGGTTTTTAATGGTTCTCCAGATGATGTCCGTCCCTAATGAATACCAACTTGGAATATTGCATTTTCTTCGAGCTTCATTGAATATTTTTGTGTTGTGTTGCTGATTTTTCTAGTTTGAAGAAAATTATCTACTCTCTCCTTAGAAGCTCTTGATCGCTTCATACCATCTGTAACCTTCACTCCAAGTGGCTTCCATATCATCCACCTTCACACTATAACCGGTTGGTCAACCTCTTCTTCAAGCTGGTCTTTACCACTCATTGACATCCATGGGAGAGCCATTTGAAGACTTACAGCACTGGAAAGATATTTCGTCTAAGTTTTTACTGGTACACACAGTTATGATCATGAAAGCAAGCGAGTTCTTTTTAGGAATGTTCAACAAAGACAAAATGGCCACCTTGTACATTTCAGCATTTGACAATTTTCCACTTGTTGTAAATTTATGAGGAAAACTATTTTGACAGCAAACAATTTCTGTAATGAATACCACCCTGAAACTTGTAACAACTTTCAAGGTGGTTTTCTGTGTAACCTTAGCTTTCAAGATAATTAACAGTATATTTGAGTTTGAAAAAAGTTCAACTGATTATGTGTCTAGTTTGACGTGCCATACCTACCAAAGTAATATTATATTCATACATAGGTCGAACAACTGGATCGAACAAAACAACGAACAACAAGTATGTCAATAAATAATATCATACTTAATAAGGTTAATTATTTTTCTCGAAATTATTGAGCTACTTACGTGAGCAAAAGTAGTATAAATAAAAATGTGTAGACTGCATCAATCACTAAGTAGAAGTGCTTCATTTACTTGTGTGAAGTAAATTAGTCGACTGAAAACAAATCACTCTCTATTTACAACATAAATGACTCTGCTGCGCACTTTGAGACTTTTGATTTATTTTTTATAAGATTTAAATGTCCAGATGAATAAATCGTCCATTAGTGTCATCCTAGGACAGTGGTGGAATATCATATAACGGAAATCAGAAACATAATTAATGCTCAATATTTGCACGACAAAGACGACAGAATACTTTTTATTTGGAGCATAATAAACCGTGATAGCTCCATGTCAATGTTATCAAACTGAAACAATTATCATTGTCTTCGTCATAAGCTAGCCTATTGGGTACTTTTTATCACCAGTTTGTGAACAAAATATTTTGTGAAAGAGTTGTGTGAGAGAGAACTTTGTAAAGGAAAATTTTCACTAGGTTTATTGGTGTGGTGTTTGCTGAAAAATTGATAAACTTCTCAAGGAAAGCATTTTTCGTCCTTTATTTCTTTAGTCCTTTAATGTCACATACATACAGACCAAAACATCTTGTTTTTAGCAAGTCCATACTGGCCAGTGCATTGTTTCCCTAAGAATAACTACACCTAAATAACATAATCACTTCCATCTGTTAACCATATGTTGAGAAAGCAGTAGGCAGATATTACCTTGAATACAGCCTCACTTATGAATTGAAGTAACACGTGCGTATTTGTGCTAAAAATACCGCGTTTCGAATGCAATATTCTGCAGGTTGGAGTACTAAATAGCAGGTAAGTTACTACATAAACTGTTCCTCTTCTGTAATGGCTGTCATAGCTGGGAAACAAACATAACTTCAAATCTAAGTTAAATTTAGTTCAAAAGCAAATGATTAACCTATGCAGTCTGCATTACCATAGTGTATTATACAAAACTCACTGGGGGTTTTCTTTAGAAAGATTTTTCATGTAACTAGTACTGCCACATTGACAACGCTTCTGCTTTGCATCTACTCGATAAGCCTTGATGCATCTTTCTACCTTTCATCTATTATAAACTTTAAAAAATGTATTTGACAATTCACATTATGGATATCGGATGTATTCAGAATGACTATACAGTTTACTTCGATATATTCTTCTTAAATATGTTGATAAGTAAAGGCTTTTTACAGCAAGAAATATACAAAATAATAATCCTTACATACTTAACATTTTGAAGTAAGTCGCTATTTCTATCTTATATTCTTCATAAGCAGTCTTTAATTTCAGTAAAGATGGATAGTGGCTAGCAGTGGAATCCAGGACGCGCATTTCGTCCTACTTAGGGCTCGTCAGCTGGACATACCTGCCTCTCAGTGAGTGACGTTTTCCCCACCGGGACTCAGACTGGGGAGCGATACGAACATTGATATGTCCGTCGCACAAGAAAAGGCTATTATGGCTTGGTAGTGTAGTGAATAACGCACTGGCTTCTGAGGAGGCCACTTTCGAGTTCGAATCCCGGCGCGAGCAACACCATTCACTGGGAGGCAGGAGCACCCGGCTGACGAGTCCCTACTAGGACAAAATTCACATCCTGGATTCCACTACTAGTCACTATTCATCATTACTATATAGGATTAAAACATAGGCAATGTCGAGGCATCCGTGGGGTAGCCTATATGCCAATAGAGACCAATCAATTCGGTCCAATCAACGACGGTATAATACAAGTAATTGATCTTTAACTTCTATGAATTTTGATGTCTTATGCGATTTGACCAATGAATATTTCTGATGAAACTCTCCTAGATTAGATGAACTAGTTTCAAATTTTGAAAAAGAAATATGACTTTGAAAACCCGCTTAACTTTAAGTTTTTCATCTCGTCGATATTCACTGCAAAAGTCCACTATATCATTTCGTGTTTTTCTGTTCTTAACAAATACATATCATTCCTTTGCATCTTTTTCCTATTTACCCTCATTGTTGATTGAACCATCAGTATGACTTCATACTGAAGTTATTGCTGATGATGTCGTCTAGAAGGAAGATGAAAGCTTCACGATTAAACAACCCAGCTCAGAGAACACAATACAACCAAAAACAGTAAGGTTACTTTTATTGATGGTCTAAGTGGATTTTATGCTGGGCCATTGGAAAATCAGAAAACACACAGTAGAAAAATTTGAGAAGCTCTTTTCAGTATAGCAGGTGAAACCGCATTGAAATTGTTTTGATTCTGTCTTTTTTTAACTACAGCTTTCTCCTAAAAATGCAGCGTTCAGTCACTTGTCAAATAAGTGATCATAGATTGAAAATGAAGCAACAAATTAGTTTTCAATAGTCGAAAATAGTTGAAAAAGAAACTAAGGGCTAATTCTAATGTTTTCAGCCTTTTATCACCAAGCAGCATACGAAGCATCAGTGAAGCACTGGTATTCGAACTCATTCCATTTATAACTTAAGAATAAAATGATAACACTGATACATTCTTTCACTCGGATCAAGTTGGACTATTTTCGTTCATGAACAACAGATATTATTAGCAAAAAGTATTGTTGACCATCTTCTGGAAGATTTCTGTCAACCAGTAGACCAAAGGGTTGTTTTCAAGTAATTTTCGACTGACTTTTTAGGCACATAAACTCAATAGTTTCAGAATTATAGCCAACAAATATTGTTGAAAGGGAATATTCTAACATGATTTATGCTTTGCAGAAATCTGTAATACCACAACATCTGTGTATCAGTCTAAGTAAGGCCAAGAAGCATCTTCGATGAAGCCCATTAAATTATGTTGATAGCTGATGTAGTTCTAGTTATTCATAATTTTCTTTAACAATAAAGATCGGCCTTTAGGCTCATAACCTTCAATCATGTTAAGCAGTATGCGAATAAAACTTCATGAATAGATACTCAAAGGGATTTCTCGGTTGATTACCAACTTCGTTTTTCACGATCACTACCACACAATGTACTTTGCTACTGAATTTATTTCTCTCAAAAACGAGAATAACAGTCACAAGAAATACATCAAAGGTAATCTTTGGTTTTCATTGACATATCTTAGACACAAATTCTTAATATCCGAAACAAACAAGTCAACATCTGAACCTGACACCACAGAGTTATGAAGTTTCTATGTAGCTCAAAGAATTCTTAAAACATATGAAAGACATTAGTATTATGTCTAAATGAATCACTGCAACTCATTGGTCATACAATGGTTCCTGATCTGAACTGCTAAAGTTGATTATATCATATAAATGCCTAAAAGACTCTCCGGAGATTTAGTTTCTCACCTATTGTAAGCCATCAATGACACATCTAACTGATATATTTAAATAAAATAGCTCATAATGAGAATTCCATACTCCGTTAATTGTTCGGAGGCAACCGGCAAGAAACCATGAACCTAGGCTTCGTGCTTGTTGGCAGTCGTCATCAAGGCATATCTACAACCTCGAGGGAACTGATGTATTCTGTAAAATTCGGACCCTCGTCACCCAGTATTGCAATCAACGACGTTAACACTGGGCTATTTGGGTAGCGATTGATCTCCTGTATAACTGCGTTACATACACTGACTTGTAAGGCGACAGCAACCAATTTTATGTCGTCTATTCCTCACTGCTGACTCAATTTTTTTGAAGTAGTTTGAGACGTGGCCACTAAGCTATGAGACTCATTATTGTGGTGG